TAGGGAAAGCAGGGGGGTGGGAGGGTACAGATCGGGGCCCCTGCAGGGAGGGAAGGAGTAGGGCTGGGGCATCCCCAGCCAGGATGGGGCACGGGACGGAGCTGCGAGTGGCTCGTCTGGGAGGCGCAGGGCGGGGGGGCGCGTGCAGTGGCGCACGGCAGCAGCTCCCACCCTGCATGCACCCCAAGAGGACATAGGGGCCTTGTGCCCCTGAATCTGCGTGCAGGGCAGGCAAAGGGCGGGCTGCCGCTGTGGGCTGGGGCCAGGGGTCATCACTGGGCTCTTCCTGGCTGGGGCTGGGCTTGGGGCAGGCAGTGGCGGTGCTGGGAGGGGGATTACAGAGGGGGGGGCTGCAGCTACCCCAAAATTTGCTGTAGCCCCCACCATAGTGCCCCGCTAGTGCAACCGCCACCCATCCTGAGCACAGCCTGGAAATCATGAATTTTGCCACGATCTTCCAAAGGCTTTCCCAAATGACTATACCAAATGATTTTGTCAGGTCAATGAAAGTCATTTACAAGTTGGAGCTTTGTTCCTGGCATTTCTCCTGAAGTTGACAAGCTGCAAACACCATGTCTATGGTCCCTTGTCTATGTCTATTATTTATAAATAATAATAAATGTATTATTTACAAAATAAATTATATGATAATATTTGATTTCTAGTCTATATTTTCATAACACCTTATCAAAAAGAACTTATGCAAAACGTAAAAGCATCATGCTTAAGAGAAAATGAATCTGTAGACACCAGACATTATCCCACAACATTCATAACAAGTATGGTATTCTACATTAGGGAGTGACTGCTGAAAAACAAAATGAAGTGTTTACCACTGCTACTGCAAGTTGTTTGAGAATAAAGATCTTGAGTTTCTAACTCCTCACAACAAAAAAATAGAGTTGATGTCACCTTGCTTTCTTCAGGGTGCAAAAACAGTCCCAGCACAATGAAAAGTGAAATAGTCAGTTTTATTTCTGCTATTAAGAAGCCTGCGAGTTATAGTTAAAATGTGACTTCAACTTTCTGCTGCTTGGCAAAACAGTAAGTACCAGCAGATGCCAAAGGAAAGCAAAAACTGAGGCATTTCTGTACCCATTCTTTCCCCCAAGATGACAACATGCTTTTTGAGAGGGATAGAATATAACACATCTCCCCATCCTACACCACAGCATACAAAAGAATCTAGTCTGTTCTATGTACATGAGACAAGACAGAGTTCCTTCTTCCTTTCAGAGTCTGAAGGGATTTTGATCTTGAACTCTCTCAGGAAGTTATCAGCCAGAGTCCAAAAGAAAACAGGTAAGTATTTCCAGCTGGATTGCCCTAACTTGGGAAATGCCCTTAGTGGGTTACCCCTGGATATCATAGGTAGCTCCACTATGTTCAGCTCTAACACTGGATGGAGCCTGCAACTTTAAAACTGTTATTTTAAGTGCTGTTTTCCTCTGTGATTGTGGGAGGGAGGGATTCATTTTGAACTTGTGGAAGTTTCCCTTTATTGTTACTGTTGGGTTCTTGTCTCCTCTCCTGTATGAAGGGTAAAACTTAGTCTTCTGTCTGCAGCTATTATGAAGTGTGCATGGAACTCTAGAAAACCATGGAAACCCAAAGTGTCAGCACAAAAATCTGAGTCACCTTTCCCACTGAGGGACGGCTTTTAAAAAGAACAATCTGACTGCTACTGCAGAGATGCATGAGACTCTGAAAGAGACCCAATAGGAATGAATGATTTTCATTTATGGTAGCCAACGTATTGTTTGCACAGCTGTGAAAGTCATTTTCAGGGTCTTCCAAATTCAATCCAGCTCTAAAGTATGAATGTTCTACGAAGACAGCCAGTTCAACATTTCTGGATGTGAGCAAATCAATATGATGCACATCACATACTAATTCTTTGACATGCCTATTCTCTACTCACCTGTTAGGTCAGCACAGGTGGTTTCAAGGTAGCCTACTAGTTCCAAAAGAGAACTAGGGGCTCACCAAATATAGCTTCAGGAAAGCCTTCAGAACGCAAGTGACATTTATCTTGTATATAAAGTCACATCACATGCTTCACTATCAACATGTGTTGGCAGAAGAAACCCTACAAAACAACACTATGAGTACAAGTATATCCATAAAATACAAATAATATTTACTATTAGTAACAGGCTGTTTCTGGAGGAGGAAAATGGAAGAGAATGACAATGGATTAGCAACCTCCAGCACATGTGCCAGAGCATGGCGTGTGAGGCCATTTTGCTCAGCATGCCACAACTGCCCCAGGCTCTGGACAGCTGCTGCTGGACCTGGAGCCTGGGCTGCTTGCAGCAAACAGCGAGGAAGCTGCAGGCCCTGCTGCAAGTAGGTCAGGCTCCATGGCAGCCCAGGCTGGATGCAACCAGTGCACTGGGGTCTGGAGCCCTGGCCTGGCTCCGTGGCAGAAGTGGCTGCACACACACCTTGGAGCACATGGCGTGGAAGGGGCCCGAGGCAGTGCAACCACAGTCCCTTCCTCACCATGCACCCTTAGGGAAAAGTGCAACCACTGTCGCCATGGAGCTGGGCTGTGGTTCAGGACCCTGATGTACCTGTTTGCAGCCTACCTGCTGCCAGCAGCCTAGGCTTCACAGCAGGTGGCAGGAGCCTGCCCAGAGCCTGGGCTGCTTGTAGCAGCCACAGGTTACTGAGCCCCAGCCCAGTTCATTGCTAGTGTGGCTACACATATGCCTTGGAGCAGACAGCAGGGAAGGGCCAGGGGCAGTGCAGCTGGCACTCTCTGTTCTCCTCCCTTGCCCGTGCAGGTCTGAGCTGCAGCAGCAGCTCTGGCTCCCAGGACTGCAGCCATTGAGGGAGCACAGCAGGGTGAGTGCCTGTGGGCCTGGGGAGGGACCCAGCTTCTAAGCCCTCAACTCCTCTCCCTCTGCCTCAGCTGCTGCTACAGGCACTACTCTGTGCTGGGCTTTGGGCACTTTTCCTTTCCCCACAGATTTGGTAAGTGTCTGCACCACCCCCAACCCTGTGGCACATGTTTGTGTCTGGCAGCTGTGGAGAGGCAGCACAGGAAGCAGAAGTCCCGCTGCAGTCATGAGGGTCGGTGCTGCACGGTGCTGGCTGAGCTGCGGTCCCCACAGAGGCCCTGGGCCAGGGGCGGTCTAGGGGAAGTAGCAGCAGCAACACACAGACACCAGCGCATCTGCCCCTGCACCATGCTGCCATTGTGGCTGCCTGCTCCCTGCCATCACCTACCAGCCCCCCAGAAGCCCCCTGCTCCTGTCCCGCCATCACACCATGCCGGCCTTCCACTGCTGCGGGGAGGAGGAGGAGAACTGTTGTTGCTTCATGTGGCAGAGGGAGGGAGGAAGGAAAGGGCAGGGAGGCATGTGCATGTGCATGCACTTGTGCAAGAGAGGCAGGAAGGAGGTGAGTCTCATCAGGATCTGGCCCCGATACAGCCCCTCCCACTAGGGGCAAAGTGTGGGGGGGTGCGCCCCACCTCCCAGCTGCCCCCCGATCAGAGATACACAAACACACACACGTAGTCCAGTAGGGCTGAGGGTCAAAGACTCTGTACCTGGGAGTGAGGGGTAGCAGGAGCCTTCCCTGCCCCACTTGGCAGCTCCTGCCTCCCCGCCAGTCCCTGAGAGGATGGGGCAGCTGCTTCCCACCATGCCCCACCACCAGGTCTCAGTGCAACTCCCTCTTCCCTTCCTGGCTCCCCTGCAATCTCCTCCTCCTCACCTAAGTTCCAGTACAAAGGAATGGGAGAAGTCTGGAGCATTTTTGTCAAGATAGGCTTGGGAGCAACACCACCACAGAGGAAAGGGAGAGAAGAGACAGCATGGACGGCTTCAGAACAGGGCTCCTCCTCTCCCTGTCTGGTTGTGTGTGTGTGTGTGTGTGTGTGTGTGTGTGTGTGTGTGTGTGTGTGTGTGTGTGGGTGTGTGTGTGTGTGTGTGTGTGTGTGTGTGTGTCCCCCCGATAAGAACTCCAAAGAGCCTGGGGGCCGTGGCTCCCTCCCGTCCCTATCCCCCACCATTGGTCCACTACTGCTTACATGTATCAAGTGATCACTACAATTTGTACTTTTCTAATGCAAACATTTACAATCCAAAACTGATTTCTAGGGTCATGTGATAGAAGATGGCTGCTTACAGGCAGAGCTTCAGGGAGGATCTGGCATAATCCAAAGGTATCACCTCTCCCTGACCCCTTTCAGGCTTCAGAAACATTTTCCCCTAAATGTTAGAGGGCAGCTGCATATAAAGCAGACTGATATGAGAAGTTATCTTCTCCAAAGGAACTCAAAATAAGAAACTGCGAAGCAGCAAGCAGACCTGGAGCTGTAAATAAAGCAAGGCAGAAAAACAGGACCAAAGCAGCTTCCAGTACCACAGATGACTTTAGTGAGTTCATATCAGAATTCAAATTTTTAAAATCCTTTATAGAAGTAAATCTTGGTAAAACTGCATCCGAGATGGAAGAATTTAGAAACAGAATTACAGCTACTGAGACAAATGTGAATAAACACTTTCATGCTAATATACAACTCCAAAATAAAATTAATCTTATAGGAAAAAAAGAGGAGCTCTAAGAAAAAAGTGGAAGATGTGGAAAATCATGCATAGAACTTTGGAATCAAGAATCTCCCTGAAGAGGTAGAGAAAGGGGATCTTACTACATTCTTAAAAGAAGCACTCCAAACCTCAGCACTAGATACTGACACACCAATATCCATCCACAAACACACGCAGAGATAACATTCTAAGAATAAATTACTTTAAACAAAAAGAAAAGATCATGAGAAGATCTAGAGCGCTCTCTGCAGTGAAACTGGGTGGATACAAAGTACACATTTTTTAAGATATATCATACTCCACTCTAAAAAGAAAAAAGACAAGTACTGAAAGAGATTACAACTTCTCTCAGAGAAGCAAAAATAAAATATTATCCCCCTTAAGTTTCAGGAAGGGTAATAACACACCATTAAAAGATATGGCAAAAGGATTCAGAGTACTCAGAAGATTAACAGTTCTAGAAGACAACTCTGAAGGAAAACTAGTGTCTAGGTGTCATATTTTAAAAAAAAAGTAGCCAGGCTATTTATTGTAATTTCAGTCAGAAAAATGCATGTTCTTCTTCATAAACCTAAATTAGCATTGCATTTCTCTCCAAAAATGACAGCCAAGCATGAAACTTGCTATAATCGAAATAACTAAACTAGAGGTTAAACATAAGCCTTCTGGCTGGATTTTAAACAATACAGGAACCTCTGCATCACTTATCCTTAGCTAGTAAAGCTGAATTAAATGGGTAGCATGAGATCCAGTTCAAAGTTCATTTAAAAAAAGTAATTCACCTCACACAACTGCACAACCTTTCAAATGCAAAAGAATTCTGTAATTTTGCTAATAGGATTTAGACAATAGATCTGTATAAAGATGAGATAGAGATGATTCTGCTCAAGCATGGGATTAGACTGGATAACCTATGGAAGTCTTTTCCAGACCTACTTCTCTATGACTATATAATCTGAACACTGTAAATAAAGGCAAATATCTTTGCCAAGATAAAGAATAAGATCGGCATCAATTCAGAACACTGATCAGCAGTAAAACAAAAAAGAATCAACCTAATTTTGTTGCGAGAAGAAAACTGAACAGCAGCAAGTAGCAGTAGCAGCACTGTAACCAGTCATGAGAGGAGCTGGAAGCTGTAGCAGGGATGAGGCATTAAAAGACACATCCCCCGCCAAAAAACTAGGAGAGAAGCAAAGCAGGACATCCCATCACAATACCCACAAGGCTCTGTTAACACAGTGAGGAAGAATGCATTCCTCCTTTCCAAAAGCAAGAGACATGGTGGAGGAACTGAGAGACTCCAGACAGACTCCTACTACCTAAAATCCACAAAAAATAAATCAAAAGTAGGATCAGGGCAACAGGAATCCTAGCATCTTTTCCATTTGTGAACATTATGTTGGCTTCTCACCTGCATGCTGTCTATCGAAAGCTTGGTTCATTTCTGGCAAAGTACACATATGGACTTAGGAAATGCAAGTTTTAAAGTGACATAAGAGTAAAAGACAGACAAACACAGGAAACCCAAATGTTATGGCTCTGTAACACGGTAAAAAAAAGGAAAGTGGAGTGAATTCATAATGGAAAAAATAAAACAACAACAACAACAGAAGAAAAAGAATAGAGTAACATTTTACAATATGGAAATATATAAACAGGAAGTGATTGACAACAACTAGAGTGAAGAACAATTTCATTTCTTTAAACTGCAAGGGTTGTGATTTTGGGGAAGAGCTGCCTTGAGAGGCATGGAAGTAGCCAGGGAAAAATGTAATTCAGGAAAGCTTACATCTCTGAACTAGGAGATGTTTGATAAATTTTCAAAACCTGGGTCAATGCTGTCCTATCCTGGGGGATACTGAGCACTGCTATATTATCAGTTCCCAACAGTGGAAGGCAAAATCACAGGTGTTCACAGTCTGGAAGCAACACTGACTAACAGAGGATAGTGTTCAAGAGGTCAGATACAAGTCTAGTATATTTATATATATACTTTAGCACATCCAGCTGCTTTTATTTTTAAAAGGCTTTACAAAAATCTTTATTTTTGCTGATCTTTATTTTGGTATTTATGCTGCAGCAGTACCAAGAAACCAAAACAAGAAGAATTCGGCCCAAATCACAGGCGAGATTTGCAGAAACATCTTCAGCTCTGAAGAACTTAGAATCTATAATTTGATTCCACGATGTATGGAATGGTGCAGGAGAGTGATGCAAGCAAATGGAATCTTGAGGCAAGATTCAAAAGATGAGACTGCTGGCCTTCTACGTTTTTTTAAAGGGTATACTCTATGTTTAGTCATGGAATGGAAGAAAGGATCAAGGTTGCTGTGCAAGGAACAACTGCAGGAGTAACTGAGGTTAAAAGCAAGGATGAAGATGTCCTTTTTAATATTTTATATGGATATCATTTAACTAACATGCTCCAGTAAGGATCATGACAACAGGCAGATCAAGAAGAGACTTGAATGAGGATACTCTTTAAAACAGAACTCAAGTTCTAGACCAGGGGTGAGCAATTATTTTGGCTGCAGGGCCACTTAATGAGTTTTGGTGAGCTACTGAGGGCTGCAAGGGTAGCTCTACCCCTTGCCAGATGCCCCGCTCCCTGGTCACCATTTGGGGGTGTTTGTGGGGATGTAAGGGTGTGTGAGTAGGGAGAGTGGCTAGGGGTGTGCGTGGGGGGGGAGAGGGGAGTGTGCATGTAGCAGTGAGTGGGGCTCCCACCAAAAGCGTGCAGGGGTGTGTGTGGGTACAGTGTTTGTGGGGTGTGTGATAGTACACAGGGAAGGTTGTGGGGTTTGTGAGTACGGTGGGGTGTGCGTGGGAGGCCCTGCATATGCCCCCCAAGCTGGTCAGCACCTGCCTCACAACAGCCCGGAGCCCACGCACCCTGTGGTGCCTCCCCGCCACTGCCAACAGTGCACAGTCGCAGCCTGCCCCAGACTCACCCCAGTGGGAGTGGATCAGTTGGAACTTGTGGGAACAGCCCCGACCCCAGCCCACCCTGCGCTTGCTGTGTCCTGCCACGCCTGAACATGCAGCGGGGCTGGGGTGCCTCTGCAGCTGAAAGGCAGCCCAGGCAGTGGCAGCTCCTTCCAGCTGCCACTGGCCCCAATCCCACGGTACCGGTGGGGACCCATGCTGCACAGCCCCAACCTAGCCCACCCCGCACCTGCTCCAGACTCGCCCACCCAGGCTCAGCAGCAGTGGCAGCCACATAGCAACTGTTGCTCAATGTGGGGGAAAAGCGGCCCTTCCCTCTCACCGCTGCCAGGTGCTTCCTGCTGCAACCACCAAGAGCAGACCCCATAACATTGACCCAAGAAGGAAAACTTGAAGCCTAGCTTCTCTCCTTCCTAGCCCAGGAAACAAATGATTTGCAAACATGTATTTCCGAAGAATCTGGGACTCTCCCAAAACAATGAACAGCCCGTGACAGGATAGCCCAATCGCAAGAGGCTCAGAATTTGAAACCAAGACAACCTGGAGGAAACCATTCCAAAGATCAAAGGAAAGACCTATTGGGAGGGAGACAGGGGGAAATTCAAGAAGTCATGTGTTGCAGGTTAACAGATCATCAAGTCTTTACAAGGGGGGTGGGAAAGAGAAATAGAACTCAGGAAGAAAACAACTAAAGAAAGAACAAAAAACCCAAGCAAAAAGGTGAAAGAATAGGTATTACGAGCAGTTGGCGGACAAAAACATGGTCTGTTTAAGTCTGCGGAAACTCGATCTTGAGTTAAGGTAGCTGAGAAAAACTAAGGAGTAGAAAGAGCTCACCTTCCTGTATGCCCTCAGCAAAAAACAGGGAGAGGCAGAGCATGTGCTGAACAGTACTAAAACTAGGAGAAAAAAAGTCACAGAGCTTAAATAACTGAAATACCTCACCCCACTCCCTCCCCACCATCAGTGTAGCTTTCATATGGACAAGCAATTGAAGAAATTAGGATTTTTCTACACCCAGGAATGCACTCTTTAAATTTTAAGGGATAGAAGAATGTAATGGACATTAAATATATCTTCAATCTTTCTGCTTCATAAAGTATGTTTGTCTAAAGTCAACTTAAGCTGAATAAAGTTAACTTGTGGCTTATTATAGGTATCTTACCCTAACTATTTGCGTATGTTGTCGTTCAACGGCAAGATGCAGTGCAGTTTGCTGGTTCACATTCTGGATATCCAGATTAGCACTGCCCTGAAAAAGATGTTTACAGTCAAAATTTTTATTTTCAACGATAAGTATGCAAGCAACATAGCCACTTGGAACATATGGTAAAATCCTGAAATAGAGAAGATTTAGAAGCAGAAGGGAAAAAAAAAATAAAGAGGGCCAAGTTTTCAGGAGCATCTGGTTTATACTTAGACTCCAGAGTGGTATCCCTTGCACCACTAGGCAGTGCCCAGGAGCTTCTTCACACATCTAAATGGGAGGAAGCCTTTTTGTAAAAACAGGAATTCAATATTAAGTGTTGAGTATTGTGAAAGCTTGGCTCGGCATGTATAAATTATGGGAATAGGTAAAGGAAGGTAAAGCCAGCCTTAATTCTCTAAATGTACTAGGCATATCCTTAGTGGAAAAAAAGGCTGCAGGCTTCTTAAGTAACATTTAATTTTCAGTTTTGATGACTGCATTAAAAATGTATTAAGCTATAAAAGGGTTGGAGTCATCCTTAATCATACTGTTAAACTCAATATTCTTAACCTTACAGCCATCCATTCAGGGTGCTGGTTAACTGCCCCTTGGCTTGTCCTATTTGACTAGCAGAGGGAAAAGGAAAAAAAATACACAAATGGTATAACTGTTAATTACTCATTATTCACACAAATTAGATTATTTGGCTCTAAAGAGTTAAACTTGTTCAGGAAAGTATTGGTGTAGTTTAATTATGGTGATACAAAGGGCAAGTATGACACAGCTAGTCACACATGCCATTCGCTGTGCCAGCTCTACTTTTGCAGGCATCTGCCTGAAGGAATAAACTGTTTTCATGGTGCTTAAGCAAAGATGTGTGACATTTAACTCTTCCTAGTGGAAAGCATTACCTGATGCACCAAAAGTTCAGCCACTTCTACATGATTATTTAGTGCTGCCAGATGTAAGGCAGTGTAACCATCATCTTTCTTTTCATCTACAATCCATGGTCGTGGCAATTTGGACAGCAACACACGCATTGCACTGAAACATAACATATTAAGAAATATTTACTGGATAAAATGAACAGTATCAAGAAAAAGTTTTCATTCTCATGACAGACTGACAAAGAAAGCAACTTTTAAAAGGGGATATGAATAAAAAAAAGATTCCAGAACTTCAGAAGTAAAAATCTAATGTTAAACTATTCTGACAAATAACTTGTATTCTGCAATTTAAGACCAATCAATCAAGTAGAAGTCTGATATTTTTCGGCTGGATTTTTTTAGATTAAAACATCAATAGCAAAGCAACTGCATGAAAAATATTAAATAAACTTATTTAGACATTTAATTTTTTAAGAGGAAATTATGTTTATATATCTACTGAATATGAATCCCTTCTTCACACTTCATTACTGAATAGGCAAGTTCCACTTTAAAAATCTCAGAAATTTTTAAAACTTCACGTAGCTCACTATGACTCAAAGAAAAAAGACACCACTCCATTTTTTAGATAAAACAAGCAATGGAAACTATTTATCTTATGAGTTCTTTTTGCATTTTATGTCAGATAGTACCAAAATATACGTATTGTCAGATCAGACCCAACAACTTATCTAGTCTAACAGATAAACCTGGCCCCGTGCTGTCACCACACCAAGATCCCAGCCCTGGCCCTGGCCAACCCACTCCCAGATGCCTCTCCCTGCTTGCCTGCAGCCCCATTTCATCTACCTGGCCAAGCACACCCTGCCTGCATGTCCCAGGTTGGTCTCCATGGAGACCTTGCCTGCGTGCTCTATCTGGCACGCCTGGTGATGGGTGTGGGGCAGAGGGGCTGCGGTGCCCAGGCACTGGAACCCGATCCAGTGGGGGTGGTGACACTACCATCAGCTGCCACAAGGGGCCACCACCACCAGGCCTGCCAGGAAGTGGAGTCCAGCTGCTGTGCTGTGCTGCCCCAGCCCCGCTGTATGCCCACATCCCAAGATAATCCCCATGTCTGGGCCAGGAGGGGCCAAGGGACCCGCCACATCCAGATCCAGCTTGTGAGACATATTTTCTACACCCCAGAGGTTAACTATGTAGAGGTATTTGCAACACACTGAACTCACAAGTAAGGATACCCAATAAAGTTTGCCATTTTACCACCATTATTACAACCTAATGATAGTTAAACAAAGGCCCCTGGCACACATTCATTTAATGGGGCCTTGAGATCTGATCTCAGAACCCAACAATCACACACCTGCCATGCTACAGATGCATATACTCTATGTGCTTCACTTCATCAGCTACGCACTGCACTAACCTCCTGAGCTCTGGAGTTAATTAAAAAACAGGGACTCTGGGCAGGCTCCACACTGACCAGCTGGTGAACTCACAGTTGCCAGTATATGCAGAGTGCCAATAGGGGCTGCCATTGACATGCTAGTGAGAGCTCACTGGACATGTGATACAGCCAAAGGGTGAACAAGCAGCTGCACCCCTTTCTCCCCTCCAGAGCCATGCTTGGGATTATGGTTTAGCAGAAGATGCATGATCTAAATTTGTAAGTTGGACAGGGATTGCACCTACTTTTCCCTCCCTCCATGACAGAGAGAGAATCAATTCTCCTTTACCCAAAATAGAGCAAGGCTGTCCAAAAAGCCAAGGTGACATAGGAACACCACACTTGAAAACTGAGTTAGTGACAGATGCCACCTGGGCTAATGAGTTTCCTTTTGCTTTTGTCTGCGTTTCTACAAGCTTAGAATTCTACCCTCTGCTCTAGTTCTCCTTACCTAGGCCCGTTTTAAAACAGAGGGTTTGCAAAACAAGATTGGGTAAGGCAGTATAACAAACAACTAAAGATGAGCACATCTGGTCAGCAGGATGGAGACGATCAGGGAACAAGTAAAGACTGCACACTGGAAAACATCATCTTCAAGGCATGTTGAGATCTTGCAGCCTTGCCTGCTGTTCTGATTAAATTTGTGGGGTGGAAATATATCTCCTGGTTGTCTCCTCTTTGTCTATTATGTAGGCAGTATGCCCCCTCAAGCCATAGGGTTCCCAAACAGTTGAGACTTCCAGAAGCAGTAGTAACTTATATCCTGGCAGCTTCTGTTGATATTGTTCTATCCTCTTGCTTGCGATGGGATAATTTGCAGCTCCCAGAAAAGGCACAGCATGTATCTGAATTTGTCATCAGAGCACCAGTTAACAGAAGCAAAAGGCATAAACTGACATACACAACCTAGAATTCAAACAACTCTTATTAATTAACCATGCAAAATTAAGAACTACAAATTAAACATGTTAGAAAGTGATCCTTTCCACAATGAAACTCCAAGCCTGGCTTAAAATAAAAAATGCCACAGATCTAGCTGAGCAACACAGTGAATCACACAAAAAACCTGACTTTAGCACCCAACATACTGATTGCTCTTACTTCTGAGAAGAACCAATCACAGATGCGGCATGATGAAGCTGGAAAAACATTTTTTTTTCGGCAAGTTCACCATATGTTGTATACAGTGTTGGTTCCTTTCACCTCACAGTTCATATTAAAATATTTGAAAGCAAAACAATATTTTTGTTAAAAGTGTATGCTGGTCTTTGTCAACTTTGTTTTATTCTTGATACTTCAAAACACGATAAAAATGTACTGACATTTTTTAAAAGGCCTAGCATAACAGACTATGGCATCTGCTATTAACTCATTACAGATGCATTTTCTATGCAGATTAACAAAGCGTAGGTTGCCACGGTTTTACTGACATCTAGCAAAATAAGGAAGAATCTGTTGAAATGGTATCCCTGATAAGGCATGCTAAGAGAGTTTCAACCCAGGAATACAAATATATGGAATACAATACAATCTATGGCCAATTATAGATTCCATAGCTTTTATAACAGCATCCAGTAAGGGGAGGCAGCAAAGAGTGGGTCTGGAACACTGCACTTCTTGTCTGGACTATATCAATGCAATATACCTAGGCATGAAGCCATCAGCCCTTAGGAAATTCCAAGTAGTACAGACTACTGCAGCACATTTCAGCAACAAAGGCACATTTAACCTATCCTCTGCTTGCTACATTGACTTCCCAGAGAAGGAAGTCACATGCTAAGACTTTGTCCTTGTCTTTAAGATGCTCAGTTGGCTGAGTTTGGCATTTCTAAAAGAGCATCCACAATTCTGGAGAACTGGCTACTACTCTCCACAATTCCATAGGCAAAGTTTGTCCTAAAAAAAGGATAATGTTTGTTTGTCCAAAGGATGGTTCTCTCAGAGACCAGAGAGAAATTGTGAAACCAACTCCCACAGCAACTAAGGACTATCACATCATCATCTACTTTGAGAGCAAGGCACACTTCAACTTTGCCTTTGCTCACTGAATGCCACCCCCACCACCATTAAAACACCGTGCTCTGCACATAATTCTGCCCTTGAGAAGAGGATGAAGGAGAATGTAAACTAAGATGGCATTTATCACATTACTTACCAAAGGTGCAGAACAACTAGAACATACAGGAAGAGATAAAGTACTCTGCTAAAAAAGTTTATGTGGTACGGTCTTAGACTGTTCAATTCCGAGTGAATTACTGTTACATCTTTTGTTAAGTATGTTAAATCACTGTGGAAGAAAACCTACAGGTAATGTTTAACTAATTACCTGGTTGCAAGGAATCATTTGAGAAATGTGCTTACATTAATAATCAGTTGGAAAAGGCAGAGTAAACTTCACAAAAAACATTACAAAGCAATCACAAAAACCCAATTTTGAAGGAGATTAACAGTGAATGACACACTAGCACAGGGATGACAGTTTGTCTGCAGAGCTCCACAAGGATGTTGAAATTTGGAGGCAGGGGAGGGGTGCCAGCATTAATTGCTGCCAAATTTCCAGATCCATGAGAAGCGCCACAGGTCAGAATACTGCCCTATATTGTTTTAACTTGCATCTTTAAAATTGTGCCATTTATATAAATCAATGGCAAATTCCCTTAAATCCCAAGTTCCCATAAGACTGTATCTCAGATATTTGATAATGTGAACTGAATATTCACATTTGAAAATATGAAAGAAAAGGGAATAGCACAATATATACCATAAAGCCTGTTTAAACTGAAAGTGTTTCAATTTAGTATTTTGTTATAGTCAATGGCTGTACCATAGGGCATTAAATCTGCTCACCAGTGGCTAGCTGAAACATCCTGCAGGGTCTGGAGACCTATAAGGGCAATTTACAGAGAATTTTAGCTTCCATTTAAAAATAAACCAACAGGAAACAAGGTTCATTAGTTATAATCCGTAGGACGAAATCAGTGCCAATCTCTTGCTGACACTCAAACAGCTCTACCTTCTGCTAGGCAACATCAGGGTTAAATTAACAAGTCTGTGATCAGTTTGGTTTTTGTGTTTGATGAAGTTACTGAGTTAGGATGATGTAGAAAACAAAGGCTGGAGAGAGTCTAGAAAAGTAATTTCCTTCCCCTTTTCCTTCCTGCAGGCAGGACCCAGACTGGTGGAAGGAAAGGACAAACAATGAATTACTGTGTCCTGTAAGTAGCTGGAGTTTCTCAAAGAAGGGTTAAAGTTATTCCGGGGTTCTTTGAAAGATACAAATGTACCAAACTCCACCTAAGTTTGCCCCCTGGCTATTTGAATAAAAAGGAGAACAGTCTGGCTACTGTCTGATAGGAGTGTTAGCAATTCATGATTTGCCATGTAAAATCATAACATCATAGGAAAACAGGGTTCAAAGGGACCTGTTTAAGGCAGACGCATCCCTGAATGAGCCATTTTAGCTAAGTGTCTGTCTAACCTGCTCTCAAAAATTCCCAGGGATGGAGATTCCGCAACTGCTTTTAGGTGGCCTGTTCTAATGCTTGACCACCATAATAATCAGAAATTTCTTCCTAAAGTTTAAGCTAAATTTCCTCTGTGGCAGCATGAGGCCATTGTTCCTAGTTGTCCCCTACAGCCTCAGAGAAAAGCCTATCTTGATCCTCTATGATCACTATTCAGGTATTTGATAACTGTTATCAAATACCCTCTCATCCTTCTCTTTTCCAGACTAAATAACCCTGCTTCTTTCAGATTTTCCTCCTAAATCATGCTTTTCATGCCTCTGCTGGTCTCTTTCCAATCTGTCTTTCTTGAAGTGTAGGGTCCAAAACTGAGTTTGGTTTCTTGGCAAGACCTTGCCACTAGGTTTCTCTAGTGCAGTGGTGCCCAACATTCAGCCATACAGGCCAGATGAGCAAGCAGGCTGCATGCAAATGTTAAAAAAACAAAACAAACAAACAAGAAGTCCTTTACTGGAAGAAGCAGCATATTATTTAGACCTGGCTTCGCAACATCTGTATAGACTGGGTACTTCAGTGGGGCTTTTTGGCAGGCCAAGAGTTTGAGCACCCCTGCATTACTGGGTGATTCTATGTTTATATCCAACCTCCTCTTTACAAAATGACCAAAAAAACCCAGTTATTGATGTTGTTTGTGAAGTTCACTCTGACTTTTCCATATTACTCATGCACATTTCTCAAATGATTCCTTACAAGCATATAATCAGTTAAACATACTTGTAGGTTGTTTTCTTCCACAGTGATTTAACATGCAAGACAAAATATTTTAAAATGATTAATTCTCAACTAAACCCCATGGGACAGGCGTTAACCTTTGGTTGAGGGAAACTGCATTTCTAAACTAGATCAGTATGCCCAACTGGTAGCCTGCAGGGAGCGTGCAGTCCAAGAGGAGTTAACATGCAGTCCCTGGGCTCCCACCTAGGTGCTGCTGCCTCTATTGCAGCAGCCAAGGTTTCAGGGCTCTCCCTTCCTCTGCTCACCCCTGCTGCAGGCCTGTACCCCACAGAGCAGGGCAGAATAGCACAAATGCCAGGACAGCTGGAAACATGGAGCACCCATGTAGTACAGTGCCACAGGGGAGCCAGCAAGTAGCTTAAGGTGAGGCCTAGTGCTGCACTGTATGAGGAAGCACTTGCCCACCCACATGGCTCAGCAGGGCGTGTCCCCACCTGCGCATGCATGCATGACATATACAACCTGGGGAACCCATAACCCCTCATTAGTGCTGCCCCCACACTGTGCAGCTCCTGTTGGTGCAGGCTGTGGGCCATGTAGCCCATGGCCCTTTGGAAACTGGATGGCCCTGAACTAGATTAATGCTAAATCTAAATTTTGTCAATGAAATGTGCAGTCCGCTTAAAAACAAGAAAAGCAAAATACAGACAAGCTGGTAAGCCATCTTTCTTCCACTATTAAGGTTATAAAATGAAGTGAAGAACATTGACAATCTTTGCAAAGTTTGTGTGTTGAGGTCCATCTGCCAGGAAAATGGCTAGAGTATATAGTATGACATGTAATATTGGGTGTTTAAGCATTTATTTCACATTCTCTACTAAGTTCCCCAAAGCCAGTGATCCATGACAATGTTCATATTTAAAATGTTAACCTCTAATTTTCATCTAATCAATTAATCATGGTGCTGTGCTCTGGATATCAAGTAGCAGGGTTCTAGCAGGTTTCTTTCTATTTTTCACCACAAAGATTCCCCATCCCACCCCTCTTTTTTTAAACTACTACAAATATGCTTAAAGGAAAGCACCCTAAAGAAGAATGACGTATACAATTCAAGTAAACATTAGTAGGCCTAGAGACGCTACAGGATATTTCTAACTTAACTTTGGGCCAAACAACGTCCGCATTTTGAAGAGGCTAATGCTGCCCCAAATTTTGATGGGTAAGACATAGGATTTACAATGTAGTTTAGCTACAACCTCAGCCAGGGTAGAGAACCAATCTAGAGCCCATCATTGTCAGTATTTTGCACGTCAACCCTTATATCTTGGAATACCATAACTTCAAGTATCAGCAAGAACAGTTACGGACCTGCAGAGAAGTTAAGAATGAACCTATTTCCTACTTTTGTGAAGCTAAATTTAGCTCTGCATTAGCCACTGGTTCATTATGCTTTGCAATTATTTTTTTCTCCTTGCTGCTTTTAAGATTATATTTTGTGTTTTGGGATTCAGAAATACACTGTTACAAAAAGATTTTTGTCTAGACATAAGAGAAGGTTTTAGTAAATTATTTTGGCTTCAGTTAACACTAAGTATTGTATAACACTGTCTAAACTGGCAAAAGATGTTGGCTAGTCTAGCTCTGTTACTCCAAAAAATATATATTTATTGTCTGTTCTATTTTAATACACAAAAATGAGCTTCCAGGTTGTGAAAGCATCAGTAGTGACCTTATTACAAATGGCTTGCATGCATCAAAAATCAGACCTTCAGACTGAGTCTTAAGTTTTAAATTTTCTATTCCTGAAAAACATTTCATCTGCTTTAACTGGAGTGTCACTACTTTGAAAAACTGTTAATTCAAAAAAAGCAATTTTAAAGACTTATAATCCATAGTATAAAAATCATTCACTGTTTAAACCAAATTTATTTCATTTCCCAAATCATTTCTGACTTTGCTTTCATCTGCAGGCAAACACTTGCAACAAAACATATTTGTTAAATACTGTAAAATTTAAGCTCAGCAGGCAAAGCTTAAAAAGCTATGAAATTAAACAAGGCTACTCAGGCCTCAGACTAAAAAGCAATTTAATATTCACAGCATTTTTTGCTGATCAAAAAGTTATACAATCCGTTGTGGCCACAGGGGGTTATTTATTGTTTCATATCTGCCTAAAGACCTTGTGTCTTGCTACCTGCAGAGCTTTTTTCTTTTTTGCTCCGCAGTGTTGCTAAGTATAGTGGCAGCCGCATCAGGCTTTACTAGTAGCAGCGCAAGCTCAGTACAAATCTGGGAAATGTAAGTGGAAACATGAGAGACCGCTTTATTTGGCAGTGCTAAAAAATATCAGAACAAATGGCTAAGCAGCACTGGAACTCCAGGATGAACAATCAATAGGCAGAGAGCAAGATAGAGCCTCCCTCAGTTTCTGGATCGACAATCGACAGCTGAGAGACTATTTTTTGCAATGGTTGACTAAATATGGTCAGGGAAGAGAGAGAGACAAGAGAGCCTGTTTGCCTGGGAGTGCGTGTTTCAAATGCTTAGCTGCCTATAAAGCTGTAACAGTTTTGCTTGTGCCCCGAGTGGGAAATACAGTTAGTCTCTTCTATATTGTGCATGTGGGAGCCCTGACCTCGCACTAAGAGACTTGACCTCTGAAGATGGAAAGTAGCTTCAACACAGATCTGCCTACAGTTATGCCTGGAAATTTAACTTCAAGCAAGAAAAGATGCAGTGCAATGTCTAAGGAGCTAGAAGAAACCAAATATTTGCTGGGGGAGGGGGGCTGCTGCTTGTTTTGTAAGTCACTCCAACTTTTTTTTCCTCTGACTATTTTAATCTAACAATGGGCTAAGTTCACCTTCCCTGGTTTCCTAGCATCCATCTTTGGACACTTAATTCTCAGTCCACCAGGCGCAAGGTACAATTTCTATGCAACATCATCCACATTTTATACATTCCAAGAAAAGCAGCAGGTGCCAATCGGGCATCACTGTTCACACTATTTTGCTTTTAAGTTTTTATCTATTTGAAGTGATAAGGTGGTGAATTCACCGACACGTCCCTCCTTGCTCCCCCCTCCCATGTAACGAAGAGCTGAATCAGCGAATAGAGTGAACGAACACTCAGGATGAGATGGCTGCTGCTGATGTGTCTCTAGGTCATTACCTCTCTTCCAACTGCAAATGCTGCATGATACTAAGCTTACAGGTAACAGAACATCAGGAGGCCTGCCTTATTCTGCACGTTTAAAGGATGCCTATGACTTTCTGCATGCATAGCTATTATTTACTAGATTGTTTTTATTGTAATATTAACCCCTCTACTCTGGGCACAGCTTAATTTCAGTGTGTTGAAGTATCAAGCATTTGTAGTGCAAAGAGCAGGCTTAAGAGAAAACAACAATAGTTTAGTCCAAATTTCATGGCAAAAAAACTTGTTTGAGAAAGATCTCCTATCTCAGATGTACTCAAGGAATTTTATTACCATGCATGGATTTCTGAACATTAAAGTAATAGTTAATTTTAGTGGAATACATCCTTACCTTCCTTTGCAAGTCACAACTAGAACTGCTTTGAAAAACCTGGTCAATAATATGATAATTCAGCACTTAGTTCCAAAGCATATTTTAAGTCAGATTTTCAAAGTGTTTTATATCTTAGATGTACACAAAACAACCCAGTTAAAAACCCAGAATGTGCATGCTGTAATTCTAATGCTGCATTGCTGTTTCTCCTTGTAGTACTGTGCTAGCTACTGCTACACTCTGATTTGCTCTCTATCAGCTGCACTAGGTTTTTGTCATGGGCTGCAGAAATTTTACTTCTACTCTCCCCTTTGCTCAGGGCTTTTAAATTCACTGATTGTTACACCTATTTCAAATTATCCTTTCTAACACCACAAAGATAAAGTGTACTCAATAACTCAAATAAACTCTTGAAATATAATCTACGTCTGACAGGTCTTTAAAAGTCAAACCTGGCCAGCACACTGACTATGCACTGGTCATTAAAAGATGGCCTTGCATCTTAAACGCATAATAGAATATGAGGAACGGAGAACAGATGAACATTTAACGTTTATGTCAATTGTCATTGATATTGCAAGCCCAGAAGAGATTCTGACTGAAGCAGGTGAGTGACTACACAAAGTTAAAAAAAAAAAATTGTTCCAGAAGTGCTGAACAAGTATTAGTTTTCACATGTGACCTACAGCTTGCTAACAGCCCAAATAGTTTCCCCCCTCCCCCATAAATTCAATGTCATCATCTTTTCAATCAATAGGCTCACTGGCACTCTGGGAGATTTCTTCTTTTTAAGAAAAAAAGCAAACTATTGGATCTGCAGCAGAAAGGTGATACTAGACCTGGGAAAAGTTGACAGGAATTTTTTGTTTGGGGGGGTGCAAAGGGGTGGGGGGAATGAGGGGTAAGGTGGAAGGCAAGATAATCTTCATATTAGATGAGTTTATACTTCCCTTCAGGATACTAGATACAAACCATATACCAGCATGGAAACCTGAGAGAAGATCTCACAGAAAGTTGAAGTTCTTATGGTGGAATACAACTATCCACTCCAGGAAAATACTTTGCAAAGCTACCCATCAATGATCCAACTCTTCATTCAAACCTGGCCAGTCAGAATGAACAGCAAGAGGCAACCAAAACTTGGGATAAGTGCTTCAAGTGTTCATGTCATCACAGAACAATGAACTGTAATAGACTTTAAGCCACTATGCAGGTAAATTGTATTGTAAATCTTAGTAATAATATTAGCTTATAAACAAGTTTATTGTAAGGTTATTTTTCTAAAGAAGGAACAACCTGCATTTTGCTTAACAGAAGGACAAGGAAGCAAAATACTTTGCAGATTCCTCTGATAGATAGCTGTATACCTGCCCAGAGTACATACTTCTTTATGTACCCATATGAACATACAATGCTATGGAATGTAAAGAAGTATGTATTTTTGGCAGGCACTGAACAACCAGTAAGAGGAAACTAAAACAGCTGCTGGAAGAAACAGGTCTCCTTCCTGAGTTACTTTCATGAAGTAAATTAATTTGGTGAGGGTCAGATGATACATGCTACTGCCGCTGTAACACATTTTTTGCTTACAAATTGAAAAGAATTAAATGTTACCCCAAGTCACTTAACAGAGCAAGCTGCTATGAAAGCTCTATTTTGGTTGTATAAGTTTTGTATATAATCTTGATGTTTTCATTTTTTAAAGGCAACACATTGAACTAAAAGTGCAAATATTCATTAGAACGTACTAGATACAAAAGCATAGCTTATCTGAAGGAAAAAAAAAACCAATTCTACTTAAAATCTATTACATCCACATTTAGTTTCTTATTAATCAGGCTTCCCTTAATGATCTAATTAGATGCAAGACATATTATTTTAGCATCTTAAACATGCAGAACTTGCTCTGATTTCAGTAGTTCTCAAACATATGTCTTAATTGTTAAATAGTAATTAACAAAGTGTCAAGAAGCTGCTCAAGGTTAAGAGCTTTTGCTTCATAATGCAAAACTGAAAAGTCACCAAAATAATGTTAAGTAATGATATCACATAAGTCTAATATTTGAAATTTAAAATGTGGTCTTCTTCCAAATCAACATTTAAGGCTGGCTGAGCTCTTCAATGGAACAAAATGCAGTGTCAGGTTTATGCATGGAAAGTGACAATGCAGAGATTTCTAGGCCACTGCTGCCAGTCAGTGGATTAAAGCTATTGAGAGATTCCTAAACGAAAAACAAAGAACTACAGGTTGCTATTTAGAGACAGTAATTTGCCAGGTCAGGTTTTAGGCTTTTCTGAAAAATGTACTTTAAAACTTTAAAAAGGGATAAATAATTCTGAATTACACAAGAACATTAAGCTTAGTAATGCTCCTTTGACTTAGTTTTAAACTATGAAATGCCCAATAAGCTCTAACTGCCAGAACCATATGAAAACTAACAAAACGGTAAAGCTTGAAACCAATTTGAAATTAGCTTCTAAAATTAATCAAAATACACCAAGATATCCTCCAACTAAAACTGTTCAACACCAAAATATCTAGAAGGACTGACTTGTTTCACCAGCTTAACTGTGTACAGATATTACAGCAGTCTCTAAACATCAGTCCCTTGCATATTATATCGGCTTGAGACAAACAGGCACATTTAACACAGATTGATTTGTTGCTATATACTTTAAGGTCTGGGGCCATTTTGAATCAGGTGATGGGGAGAAGCTCTCAAATACAAGGAACCTAACAATGGATAAAAGTGCTTTAAAAAATATGAGTGTGAATTCTTCAACAGAAATATTTTAATTCCTATAACATACCAAAAGTTAATAGACCGTATTATGAATAAAACTGCCAGCTTTTTAAGAGTTTAACTAAAACTGAATAATTATATACATTTCAAAGAAGTATTCTTACAAATAGTTTTACATTAATCTAGTTGTTTTCATAAAATACTTTTAATAAATTTGTCTGCAAGTTATTTCTCTTATAAACAGATACTTTGGCATGCAGTCTCTATGGAACTATAACACGCATCTTACAAGCTGGTTTATAATGGAAACAAACTAAACTATAGTAGCTCTACTGGGTGTCATAATGTTACTTAGGTTGGTAGCACCAAATTGCTTTTAGACTCATAGCCAAAAGCTTTACAAACTAAGAGCCAAATTTACTGTTGGAGTAAGTGAGGGTAACATCACTTATTTCTATGAAGCTGTCCTGTCCTTCTTTATGCCTGCAATAATCTGGTTTTAAGATTAACTTTCCAAAAGCACACATTTAGTTTGAAAGGTTTTTTATAATGAGCCACTGGATTGCAATATACTTCCCTGCCTTGTCAGTGTAGCACTGCAATGCTATTCTGAAACAAAATGAAAATTCTGAAAGTCATACAAAAGTTATGTTGATATTGCTTCTTGCTAGTTCATGTTAATATCTGTCTAAGAATATATACCCCAGTCATTCTAAAATGTCACATCCATCACTTAGATCAGCTGTTCAATTTTAACTGAGCACACGTTGAACTCTGGGCATCTGCTGACACAGTTGTAACTCAAACATTTCGACTGTGTGACTGACAGGGATAACAGATGCTGACATTATCAAATGCTACGCTACTTTTTTCCATGGCCATTTTTTGCCCCGATATGGCCAGTACACTAAACTGTATTGCCATCCAAAAGCACACTTGAGCAGCTGGATCTGTAAAACAGTTCCTGTATAACTGGTAAAAATAGCAACCAGTTTTATGGCAGTCTTTAATGCTTAAGTCCAAGTGGCACACCTGCTATGTTTCTATTAGGATACATGCTGTAAAGAATATATTTACATAAATCTCATCACCAACATCAGACATCACAAACAGATGCAGACTATACTTGACACAGTGCATTATTAGGGCATAGTTTGAATTGATGCAGCTCCGCCCCCCGGCCACAAAAGTACAACAGGTCTTTCAAATACAAGCATCACCTGTTCATCTACCATCACTAACCAGCACCTTGCAAGAAAATGCCTACATCATAAGCACATTTACAGAGCCTTTTATGAGTTGGGCTAAGGATCTTCATCTAGCAGAAGCCAGAGGCATTGCTTTAGCTATTTTTTGTTTGTTTGCATTAAGAGTTTGTACAGAAAGAGAAACATGTAAAAAAAATCTCCTTGTGTTACATTAAAACATTGGAATTTCTAAAGCATATCCTGACCAGGGATATGCTTAAAAAAAAAAAAAAAAAAAAAAAAAAAATTCTAAAAAAAAAAAAAAAAAAAAAAAAAAAGAATTAAGACCATCTGACATTTATAACTGAGGGTCAGAGATACTCCTCTTCCCACAACCCAGTCTGTATTAGTGCTAACCAACTGCCATGAAAAACAGCAGCAAGGGGTAAACTAAAATACCATGCCTATGCAATGTGATTTGTTATGATAAAAGATAATTACTATACATTATTTTACACAAAAAATACAGCTATTCAGTACTCTGGAATTAGTCAGAAGTTAATACTGTAACGGTACAGTATTATTAGGCCAATCTACCAATTTAAAAAAAAACTGTGCCTATAAAAGTGCTCAAGAACAAACTGGTAGATGATACAAGCCATTCTGGTGTAACTTTCATTCCTGTCCTCCCTAAATTTGAGTTATATGTAATGACGTAAAAATTTAAAAGCAAATGTAGATGTGTATAATTATTTGAAGAAAAAGTCATATATACATTGTAAAATTATATGCATATGGTAAGGAAACTTCGGGCTGTTTTGTTATGAAATAAACGTATTGGCTGCCTACGCTCCAATGCTTTGCTAAAGCTGGTAAAATGGAACCAAATCACCTGTTCAATGGATTTGGTCCCCTTCAACCAGCTGTAGCTATGCATTGATCACTACAGGACATCAAATATTTTCAGTGATGGTTATTAACACATATGTAATTGCAAAGTTGATGATATAACCACTTTGAACATGCTTAAACTCTTCTGAGCAAATTAAGAATAGGCATTTTGTAGGTTGAACACAATTCCAGAGGCTATATTTCGATGTAAACAGTTGCTTCTGTTTCACTTTCTGTTCTGATTCAAGAGAAAAGCGTTGTGATAATTTCACTACAAAAATGTGTAGGCAAATAAATTCATTTTTCAATTATTATTGCTTCTGGGTTTTTTAAGGTTCCCTCTCAAACCTTGTTTTTAAAAAATGGGGATGTAAGCTGCTTTTACAAAAGTACTCTAGGGCAATACCCTACTTCACAGGCATATTGCACTACTGAGGCTAAGTCCTCAGGGTAACAACTGAGTTTGCATCTCATACATGCTGAGCATATTATATACTATTTAAAGATAATAACTATCATTGACCTCACTGCTACACTCTAATTTGCTACTTAATTATGGGTCTAACCTTGAGACGATATGCCTTCCCACACTCCACTTTAGAAATGTCTCCTTACAAAGCATTTTAAAAGTTACTTCTGTACGTAATACCTCATTTTAGGGGTACCTGCCTTTTACACTGAACTCTTCAAATTGCTTATCTGCATTTACTCTATGATGTATAAAATCATTATTTTCATGCTTCTAAAAAAAAAAAAAAAAAAAAAAAAAGGAAGAAAAATTATAGCATTCGTTTTCAGAAAACACATTTCTCCAATAATTTACCAAAGAATAAAATTCCATCACCAACTAGTTCAAGACTTAAACCAGCTATGAAGTAACCAGAATATAACTATGTGAAGAAACGCAAATTCACAAAACACTAAATATTAATTGGAAAAGGGTTACCAACTCCATTTTATAATTTCGCAATTACTAGTTTGTGTACAAACTAGTTGTCTCCACAAAATGACATGCCACATTACTAGAGAACGACATACAAATCTGATGCTTACTCCCACATCCAACATCTTTTCCAGGTTAAAGCCTAATTAGTCATATAGCTTCTAATTATTCCTGGAAGAAACTGGTAGCATGGCTGTTCAACAGCACAGTCATCCATATAAGGGACATTCAGGTATTTTGTGTAAATATGAAATCAAACTTATTATTACACTATGAATGAAGCTCTCTTCATAACCTGACCCAAGACTGTTGAGACTGTGTAAAGACAAATGAAACACACACCAGAAAGACCTCAATTAGTTGACTAAAGCCATAATTACAGTCATTTCAGAAATGCATAATCACTAGTATATCTGTTTTGGTTTCTATTTACTATCTAGAAAAATCT